TGCAGGGGTGGCACCGGGAACGATGTCAGTTGTGGGGTGGCAGCCCCACGCGCCAGGGCCGGGAAGGGGAGGGGGACCTTTCTGCCGCCCCAGCTGCCCCTGCCAGGCTGGCCCTCTGCGTGAGCCTTTTAGGGCAAAGGTCAGGACACATCAACCCCACAGCCAAGCCACGTGGAACAGAGACAACCGCACTGATTTACGTGAGTCCTTGGCTAATCTGATAATGGAGGGGGGAACACAGTGATAAGTGATACCCTGAGAAGCGCTGGCTGGCCAGGCGGCTCCCCGCGGAGCAGGGAATCCTGCCGGTTGTTTCGTGGGTAATAAATCAAGGGGCGTGGCTTCCCAGCCTTTCTGGACATCAGGGAAAACTGGGTGAAAGGTCTCAATTGTCGAGACTATAATGCTTCCAGGATCCTCTGCTATTTCTTGAGAAACTTCATACCTTATAAGCAGAAGCCAAGGCCCCTTCCTAGGTTGTAACAGAGTGTGGAAACCGGAGGAACCACTATTGTGGGGTGGCAGCCCCCGACTAGGGCACAGTCCCCTATTCTGCAACTGCATTTGGTGAGCAGGTGCAGGAGCGAGCTCAGCAGGTCCGACCATGACCTTCTGTGAATCTAATGTGTGACCTGCGCGTACCTGCAATTTTTATTACCGCACAGGTCATCATCATGTTCTCGATACCTTGGGCCAGACTAGAATCAGATTGCTTCGAGAATTCTTTTTAAAAATTCTCACCCAAGGATATGTTTATGGACTAGAGAGCGAGAGAAAGAAACATCGATGTGAGAGAAGCATCACTGATCGGTTGCCTCCCACACGCACTGACCGGGGCTCAAACCTGCAACCCAGGTGTGTGTCCTGACCAGGGATCGATCCTGCAGCCTGCTGGTGTCTGGTGTCTGGGATGATGCCCCAGCCTAACCACCTGCCCAGGGTGGGGGAGGTCATTCTTTCCCATTTTAAAAAGATGTTATTTATTTTTAGAGAGCAAGGAAGGGAGGGAGAAAGAGAAACATTGATGTACAAGAGAAACACCAATCAGTTGCTTCCCATATGCCCCTAATCAGGGGACCTGGTCAGCAGCGCAGGCCTGTGGCCTGACCTGGGATTGAACCCAAGACCTTTCAGTTTGTGGGATGACGCCCAACCCACGGAGCCACACCAGCGAGGTCTGGAGAGGTGAGGCTTGTGTCTGCACCTTGCCTCTTGGATGTATCGCCCAGGAGTAACACAGGGGCCCAGTGGGAATCCGACAGCAGTGGGTGACACACAGCTGGGGAGGGTCAGGAAGCTTCCAGAAAGCAGAGGAGACCCCCCGGCCAGGGGGGAGACCTCAGACTGGAGACCCGGCTCGGCCCCGTTTCCTTGGGACCCTGACTTTGCATTTTTAGGGCTTTGGGAACAGCCAAGGCTTTCACACTTGGGGCCATTACAACCACCCCTGGCAAAGGGGCGTCTGGGACACAGGAACCAAGACGGAGGTCGAAGGGAGTTGCCCAGGGACTGGTAAGCTGCAGAGCTGGGACCACAGATGCTATGTTCTGAGTCTCAATCCGCGGCTCCATTTATTCGGGGTTCCCTGAGGATGTCGGGGTGTCAGGCTCATGGGTGGTGATCAAATGTGGTTTGTGCAAACAGCAGACTAAGAGCTGACAGACTTCTGGCTGCGGATCCCCCGCTCTGAACCCCGAGAGGCTATGTTCGCTCTCAGCTTCTTTCCGTTCTGTCTCTAGAGCCGACGGTCCTTGGTCATTCCAGAGTGTGAAACAATAGTTTTGCTCAATGTAAACTTTTCTTTTTGTCTTACTGTAGAACTCTCTCTTCTTGGGGGAGGTGAAGGAATGAGAGAGAGAGGGTTGTACTGGGATCTTCTGAGCAGCGCCTTGGAAGGTGCACTGGTCTCCTCTACCAGGGTAACCTTGGCGGCAGGACCCTGGGGGCGGAGTCCTTCTGCAAGCACGTACCTCTCCGGAAATGCCACGGGCTGTCCCCACGAGGCCCTGGCGCCCAGGGGGTGGGGGAGCAAGGCTGCAGCCCGCTCGCTTCTCAGATGGGGCCCAGTCCCTGGGAAGGGGACACTTCCTACAAGAACAGTAAAATGGTATCCTGGAAATCTCTATTCTTCCCTGTGCTGCGGGGAGCTGATGAAGCAGAAGCGTCTGAGACAGACCGGCGGTCGCCGTATCTGGTATGGTCAGACCTAGTTCAGTGACGCGCAACACACCCAGCGCACGGCCACAGCTGATAAATGGTGGCACATGCCGTGTTGCCTGGCAAAACCCAGGCCTCTGACAGATGCCCGGAGCTGACAGGAAGTCTGGATTTCACTGTGATTAAGAAACTTTAAAGTGAGGGAGGAACATCGAACAAGTTTTAAACAAGTCGAATGGGCTGTGGCGTCCGTGCATCGGAAGGTGTGCCCCGGCCATGGCGGACGGGTTTGCGGTGGGGAGGGAGAAGGCAGACCGAATCCAGGCCCGGCTCTGGAAGGCAAGGGACCAATTTTATTAGATTGGCAGGATTGGAGGGATGAAGGAAGAGGAAGAGAATGGCTCCCAGATCATTCGCTTTAGTCGGTGGTGGAGAATGTGTTCCTGAACAACAGGGTCTAGGGGAAGCCTGTATTTTTGAGGATAATCAAGGATTCAATTTCATCACAAACTTGAGATGCCTACAAGACATAACACAAGGTAAGGCTGAAGCCCGCAGAGGTCAGGGTGGGAGACACAGATTTTGGTGGTCAGGTAACAAGGCAGCGAAGCTGCGTGACCGGGTAAAATCAAGGCAGGATGTGGTGAGGAAAGGGGTCTGTGTAGGGGAAACTAAGGCAGCCTCGGTGAGCGGGGAGACCAGGAGACTGTTGTCATGGACATAGACTTCCCCAGAAAGCAGTCCCCTGTCTGCAATGCTACTGAGGAAGAGTCAGGAGTGGCCCTTGGCTGCTGGGGCTCAGTGGGCTGAGCACCAGCTTGCAGACCAAATGGTTGCTGGTTCGATGCCTGGCCAGGGCACATGCCAGGTTTGCAGGCTGAGTCCCCATTGGGGGGTGTGCGAGAGGCGAGCAATCGATGTCTCTCTCACACACCGATGTGTCTCTCCCTCTCTTTCTCCCTCCCTCCCCTTCTCTCTAAATAGCAAATAAATAAAATCTTAGAAAAAGAAACCAGAAGACAGCTACTGGATTTGGTGATGATAAATTCAGACGAGAGCCCCCACTGATGCAGGGGGGGGGGCGGACTCGAGAGTTGGGAATAGATGGGTGATTCGATTTTGGCAGAATTTCAACATGTTAATTTAAATTTGCGTAATTTGCATTTATTATGAGCTGCAAAGTAGCTCTGAATATATCCCTAGCTTTATATTTGCACTTAATGTACTTTAACGAATCTTAAAATTGCATCTATGTACCATCCAGAAAAACACCTTTTATGACGCAACGCTGTGTCACTGATTTGAGACTCACTTCATTTTCAAAAACGTTCAAATGTAAGAAAAGCCTCAGACATGACGAAACACAGAATTCAGGAACAAAAACTGGGCGGCAAACCTGGCAGTTGCAGATGGCGTATCAGCACAGCAGACAGAGTGCTTTGCTTGTCGACCGCAACCCACCACGAGCTCGGCCGCGGCAGCCTTCTCCCGAGTGGGTAGGGCACATCTCCTTTGCAGGGTGTGTGAGAACACTAGCAAGGCACAGGGGTAACGAACGCCCTGCCACTGGAAGTCCCAAGCTGCCACGCCACACCATGTGAAGCTGTGACACTCTGAATCCATCGGAATCATCAGTGGCTTGGTGGACAGGACCATGGCCCTGGAGAGCAGGACTGGACGTACCCAGTGGAGTCTCCAAGGTTCAAGGTCAGAGGCATGTTCTACAGGGGTGCAGGTTTCTGTTGTTCACAGCACTCAGAAAACACGTGAGTGGAAGGGTAAGCTGCGGAGTCCCCAACCCCTGGGCCAGAGCAGGGGGAGTGGCCGGCCAGCTTCACGGGATGACCTGAGCTCCGCCTCCAGCCCCCACTTCCCACGGTCCCGCCCCACCTGGGGAAAAGTTGTCTTCCATGAAAAGGGTCCCTGGGGACCCTGTTTTCAAACAGGCCGGGGACCGCTGATGTAAAGGAGTGTCACACCACTGACAGACAGGAGGTCCGGCCCTGAAAGGACTACATTGTGACAGTGAACTCATCTCCACTATGAATCTGCTGCTGGAAGTACGCACCCCGCAGAGAAAACTTTCCCAGTGAAGCAACCCGCCCGGGGGACCGGGGCCGGACTGCCTGCCTGCCTGCGACCCTGTACATGGAGCACGGACAGCGTCAGGCCCGAGAGTCAACCCCTGTTAGGAAGTGATGGCACTACACTGTCACATTTGCTTTTATTTTAAAACTGAGCGTTTTGTGGAGGTTTTCTAGGGATGATCTAGTTTCATCCTGGAATGATGAGACAACTTAAAAGGTCCAAAATGGTGGTGTGTTCTAGAAACAATTTTTCATGAAAAAAGTAGCCATTAAGCAAAATTGCATTTTATTAATAGTAACATTTCCTCATGTTAGACAAGGCCCTGAGAAGACGGACGGGGGCATCATTTAAAAAACGGGAACCGACCTGCAGTGCAGGTGCAGTGCCCCCGGTCAACCCCCGAGACTGCGCTGTGCCCACAGAGTGGGAGGCGTGTGGCTGAGGCCCCAGGAAGCCCCTGAGGCCCCACTCAGAACTCTGGCCGTGTGGGGTGGGGACAGGGGTGTCTGAAGCGTCACCTGCCCTTCAAGCAGCCGAGCAGACAAACAGAGAGGATGGGGGCGTGAAGGTGTGGCAGGGGACCACGGCGGCCCTACCCGACAGACCCGCAAGGCCCCGCTCACTCTGCCTCTGCCCACAGCCTTGTCCCCCACCTGCCCCCAGGATCCGAGCTGGGCCTTCCCGAGGGCTGAGGGAGAAGCCCTCACAGGACGAGGGTTCCTTCTGGAAAAGCCACACGGAGCAGCGCGAGGCACTAAGGTCTGCAGCTATTTTATTTACAAGTATACATTTAACAATGAAATAAACACTGATATATGGAAGCCTAGTTAACAGTAGTGTAACAATATGTATCTTTTGATGATTACATTATTTTAAACAACAAACTACACTTAAAAATTAATGCCGATAAAATTCTTGGTCATAATATTAAGAAATACAATATATAAATTGAAAATATGATTGCTTAAAATTTGAAAGTGGAAGTGAATTCATGTGGACAGAGTCAGAGTCCAACATAATCTGAGGGGTGGGCGGGGAAAGCTCTGACCCGGATGAAATCTTTCAGGTTAACAGAAGGAAAACGAAGCCGAGTTTGTCTCCGCCAATCTCCGGCAGCCTGCATCTCCGCACAGGCGGGTCCCAGTGTCCTTGGGCCACCTCGGAGTCACATCATCGAGCAGGAAGACTTTCCTTGCGAAGCAGCCCCATCGATTTTTTCTGCCTCCAGAATTATCCTCCTAAAAACATCCACAGCAGTCTGAAAGACAGAGCACACCGTGCCGTGCTGTTTCACAAGTGGGAGCCTAAGAAACGCCCTTGCCCCCGGCAGGCAGGCCTGGAGAAGCTGGCCGGCCACACACCCTGTGGGCTGCCCCGAACCCCGAGAGCAGCCTTCCTTCATCCCCACTCATGCTGGCTCCGCCACCAGCAGACCTGAGAGCAGAATTAACCTCCTCTCTCGCTTCTGATCCGCCTTCACTGGTCACCACAGGGAGCTCATGCGGTCCCGGTCCCCATCTGCCACCTCCTACTGCCATGCCAGCCCTCCCACCCCTCCCACGGTGCCTCTGGATTTTCAGGTCCAGTATCAGCAGGGCCCCCTCTGCCGAGGGCTCTCATTTCCTCCGGACACTCCTTCCCTGGGGCCATGTGCCCCAGGTGAGCTGGCACAGTGGGGCCAAAAAGCGGGCAGGCTCTCCTTATCCTCACCACCCTCCTCCAGACTGTTCTCCTGCCACCCCTGTGAAACTCCTGGTGCTGACCCCTCACACAGAGAGGAGACAACATGCCACTTTCCATCCCCGGGTCTTCCGGGCCACACGCGGACTGAGTAGCTCCCCTGCTCACCCCCACAGCTGTGACACCGTCTCCGGCGCCTCCCACGGCCCAGCCTCTGGGTGCTCGAGGCAGCCCTGCCTGCCCTTCATAGGTGGAGCTCTGTTGTTCAGGACAGGAAGTCCTTTCCTGGCTGAACAATGGCAGAATCGCCAGTCCCTGTCCTTTAAATGCATTCATAGAGGTAACAGAAACCCCACTTTTGGAAGCCTCTGGGGCAGTCCTAGACCTCGTCGTCGCCAACTCCCTCCCCAAGGCCAAGTGTCTTCCCCACCCACCTCCCTTCCCACCCTCAACAGCCCCAGCTCGACAACTCCCTGCTCCACAGGGACCAGCCTGTTTTCTCTCCCGCCCGTGGAGATCCTGTGGCCACTGTCACGGTCATGAACGCTAGCTCCTTTCTTGGCCAATGGCTGCCGCCCAGTGCTGAATACCACGCAGCCAGTGATGCCCAGGGAGCACACTCTGACAGACCTCCCTCCCCTCCAGGACCCTGGACCCAGCCAGCCGCCAGCTCCATGTCCCTTGTCCAGTCACCCCCAATGGAGGTCTCCTGCCTTTCCCTCAAATCTCCACAGCCTCCCCCCAGCCCCACCCTCAATGGATGGGCCTATTTCACATGTCACCAGCAAACCAGAATCACCATTCAAAAGGGGGCCCCACACACACTGACCGTGCCTTTGAATGCAGGCTCAGCTACTCGGGCCCCTTCTCTCTGGCCCCAGGCCCAGCCCCCTTCTGATCGAGGCCACGGGGTTGCAAGCCTGCCTTCTCTGTACATTCCCAACCCCCTTGTCCCATGGCTCTGCAGCCACGGCACTTATCCTGACAGTCATGCACAGAGAAAATTCGGAATGACACACCGAACTCTCACCAAGAACACGGTGTGGCCGGTCTGGCTTTCTGAGGAACGTCAGACCTCCCCGACCTGCCTGCGGGACCTGACCCCGTCAGGGTTTACCCTCGCCCATGGAATTGCGGGGCCACAGCAGGAGGCCTCTGCATCAAACGAACCCAAACCGAGAGCATGCACCTCCCTGAGCAGCCGTGACGCAGCCTTCTCACGGACCGGTGACGGTTCTACGGAGCATGTCCTTATCAGTGACACTTAACTCCTCCCAGGAGAGTTCATTCTAAAATGTTGACTTTTTGGCAAGTAACACAAATCACAACAGGCTACACTGGGAAATCCATCAATAAAAGACCCCAGCAGTTCACAGGAACTGGCCTCTGGTCACGGGTGCAAGCCCCGCAAATGCCCCTCCCCGGCCGAGCAGACGCAAAGCAGCGGGCTCCGCCGCGTGTGCTGCAGGAGGACCGCTCACGGCTCCGCAAGGGGACTGGGGTCTCTCGGCTTCTCCCCACCTGCCGCGGAGGAACTGCCCCGGCCCCGCAGGGGTGCCAGCAGAGGGATGGAGCACCACGTGACACAGCTGGACAGGGGTCTCATCAGGACCGCCTTCCACACCCCACGCACTACGTCATTTGGGGATGACGAGCGCTTGCTCTAAGGACTCACTCTGGCTCTGACGAGGCCACTGCTGGTCGGCGGTAAAGGCAGAGCTGCAGACCCAGACAGGGGCCATGGGCGCCTGGCCCGAGCGCACAGGCCTCCACTCTTGCGCCTTGTCCCCCTTCTGCTGGGCATCTGAGAGCAGAGCGCCACCCCCAAGGGAGCCCACGGGCTGAAGGGCAGACCTCACCAGACCCTCATCGAAACTCTCGGCCACAGTCCAGTACAACAGAACCCAAGGAGAGGATGCACCCGAGACAGGACAGCAGCTGGGCACCGTGAGTGAGCAAGTCGCTGTCGGCTGCTCCCAGAACTGCTCCCGTGACCCACTCGGAGGCAGTGGGCCCTCCACGGAGCAGCCTGCGCTGGAGGCGGGTCCCTGTGGTGCCCACCATCCGAGGGGGCTGACGGCATGACAAGTGCCGGACCCTCGGGATAGTCACACTCACGGTGCCCGCGGTCACGCACACCTACACCAACAGGAGGATCCCACTGCCGGCGCCCACTCAACCAGTGTCAGACGGAAACCCACACGGCGACACCAGCGAACGGACAGCAGGCAGCGTGGGGCCGCAGCTCCACGAGTGCACCTGCCCCTCAGGCTGCTCGTGCCTGTCCACAGGCACACGGAAACAGCCACACCAGAGTCACCTGCCCGCGAGCTGGACTCAGCCAGTTCAGCAAGAAGACTCGGCTGTCATCATCACCAAGCCCTTATCATATGAAATGTTAAAGGGACTTATCTAAGAAAAAGAAGATAAGAAGTATGAACAGTGAAAGGACAGCAAACTCACAGTTATTAACAACCACAACTAAAAAAAAGCAAACTAAGAGGACAGCTAGATCAGGAGCAGAACCACAGAAATGAAGATCACATGGAGGGTTAGCAACAGGGGAGTGGGAGAAGGAGAAGGGGGGAGAAGGTACAGAAAATAAGTAGCATAGACAGTAGATAGAAAATAGATAGGGGGAGGGTAAGAATAGTATGGGAAATATAGAACCTAAAGGACTTGTGACACATAGACATGAACTAAAGGAGGGGAATGGGGGGAGGGGGTGTGCAGGGTGGAGGGGAATGAAGGGGGAAATGTAATGGCATAATCAATAAAATATATTTAAAAAAGAAACAAAGAAGATGTGGCTGTTTTCTTTTTCTCTGTCCGCCTCTCGCCCCACCTGAGAGTGCCGGTCGCCGACACTGTGGGACGCGGCCCCGGCACCATCGGTCTGCCTTCCCCAGGGCCGGTGCACGTTCGCAAGCCCAGCACCAGCACCGTGCTGAGCCAACTTCCCCAGCCTGCCAAACTCGGGTCACACCAGGGGCTCTGGGACCAGGCGCCAAGCAGGCCCACGCAGACTCTTCAGTCCACAACTGTCCCCCGACCCCCACCCCGGGCTGACTTGAACCTCCTGACACATGGGCTCTGCCCACGGCCCCTCTTCCACCCAAGATGACTGTGGACTCACGTCCATACCAGCCTTTGGTGTAGAGCAACAACTAAGTCGGTGGCACGTGTTCACAAGGGTAGCATCTCCTTCCCTACTGCTGTCCCGCCGCCCCACAAATATGCCAGGCCCCTCCGTACGGGGAAGACTAACTGAAGGAGGACAGAACAGCACCACTGAGGCAGGGGCGTCCAACTCTCGGCCCGACACAGAACCGCAAATTTACTTAAAACGCCATGAGGGCTTTTTTGTGGTCACCTGTCACAACGTCACAATCATACGCACACTTTTGCTATTTGTACACATGCATGGCTTTGGTTTTACAGTGGTGTATATATATACTGTATGTAAAAATATAAAAATCCAATGATGTTTTGTTCTTTAATTATGTACATTTTCTATATTAGTGACCACAAACCTGGGACCTGCTTGATGATTTTAAAAAATCACCGAAAGGGCTGCTGCATAATCAGGGCTATTACGTGAGAATGTTTTGATCATCTGTGGTGGCGGATCTCACAGAAATTATGCACGGACCTTGTTTTGCTCATCAGAGTTTGTTAGTGTTTGTGTATTTAATGTGGGGCCCAAGACAGCCCTTCTTCACTGTGGGCCAGAGACGCCCAAAGGCTGGACACCCTGTTCTAGGGCACCCCACAGCCGCTGCAAGAAACGGTGGAGGGTCAGGATGAAACAGGAGCGGCGAAGACAGTGTGGACACACTAAGGGCCTCGGGCCTGCGGCTGGCCGGATGCAGTGCCAAAAGAGTCTGAAAACTACCTACCTGATTTTCTTTAGCAGACGATTCCAAAAAAGCTGCATTCCAAGATTCTGCTAACGCCTTCCCTTCTTCGTAACTGATCACCCTAAACGAAAAAGCACATTCTAATTAAAGAGGTTTGTTCTCTACTATATAAAACATCTACCTGGATTTATAAACAAGCACCATTTTTATGACGTTCTTCCTCACGGAGCAGACGTCTGCTCTGCTCTGTGTCATCAGCCTGGCTGGGACACAGAGGGGCACTTTGTTTTATTTTTTTCACACGGTGCCGCCCCCTTCGGCGCTCGCAGCCCACAGGCGCGGAGACGGGGCAGTGGGAGAGGCCCACCAGGAGGGCCCGCACGAACCCCTCACCCTGCTCCAGAGGAGCCCCGTCACACGCCCGACTGGGGACAGGACAGACACTGTCTATGGGGTTGCCCTCGCTCCAGCAGCCTTCCCTGCTCACACCACACAACTGCCCCTCCCAACCCCCGCCGTCCAAGAGTGAGGTGCGTTGAAGACCAGGGCTGGCCTGGAAGGGCCCACGGTGCCCGGGCTGTGGCATCCGGCCACAGGCCTCCTCTCTCTAGAATCCGACTCCAGGGGCGGGGTCCCATCACTCTAACCCTAACCCCACACTCAGAAAAGGATTTGTTCAATAAATGAATGCTACCATTGTCTTTTCAGAGGCTGCCTTACACAAAAGGCAGAAGAAACTGAAGATAATTCCCCACAGTGCGGGCGGATGCGAGTGTGTGCCCCTGAGCACACGCGCCACACAGAGGTGCAGAGCTAGACGGGCTCCTGCCACAAGGATGAGGATGAAAAATGGACCCTGAGGGACTAAATCAATTAGACTTAACTTCATAAATCAGACATCACTCAGAAGCCACATACCTTTCCATGTGTAGGTCTTTCTTATTCCCAACCAACATAATAGGAATCCTGTAAATATAAAGGAAAAAGCCACAGGGAACCAGTCAGTGCCGGATCTGACTGTGCAGAAGGTACTATTAGAACAAGCACATGTAACGAGAGAGAGAAAATGTTACTACTTACTGCACCTTCCCCACCATATCCAACAATTTGCCATGGATAACTTTAATCACTTCAAAACTACAAAAGAAAACGTATGAAATCAGACATCCAACTTAATGGGCATGTTTTTAAATGTTTATTATGTAAAGTGTCAGTAAGAAAAATAGACAATGTCACGGAATCATTGCTTTAATGCAGAACAGACTGAGCACAAAGCATCTCTCTACTTTTCCTACCCACGGCTCCCAGGCACATGTGCCCAGCGGCCCGCCTGGCCGGGAGCGCTCAGAAGGAGGCGGGCCTGGCAGTTCGGGTAGAGTCTAGCACCGGGCTGACATGCCACGCAGACAGTTTTGCTCTCCAAGTAAGCGTCTGCAGAACCTTCCTTAGCCAGAGGGACCTAGCGGTCAGCCCAGTTCCGTGTCAAACCACAGAGAGCGACCGTCAGTTTGCACACCTCCTGTTCCGCCAGTGGGCAAGTGCAGACCACGGCCGATCCGGCCTGTCCAGCAGCGCGAGGTAAGAAACACGGAGTACTGTGGTCCAGCAGTGCCAGCGCCGACAGGGTGGCTGCTCGCCCCACGAAGCATTTAGCTCAGTAGCGAAGTCTAACTGGCACCGTGGCCAAGCCCAGCAAGTCCTTTATAAAGGCCCGTGCTGCCTCCGCACAGCCAGTGCACTCGAGCAAGGGGAGCCGAGCCTTACCTTTTGATTGATGTGACGGAGTACACGAGAATATAACCATTGATGTCTATGGAGTACGTCTGCGGAAAGATGGAGTATTCGTCCTGTAAGGAAAGACAACCGCATTTGGCACAAAGTGCAACCTTCACCCGAAGTTTCCCCCATGTCTCCTGGCCGAAGAAATCAAGGTCAACGAGAAGTGGGGTACAGCACTATTCCAGAAACGTGGCTACACAGACAAGACCCATTTAAGAACAGTGTGGGGGTGGTGGAAGCCCCTGCTCAAAAATGGGTCTGGGTGAACCCAAGACTTCTGGAGAGGCCGGCGACTTCCCCGAGTCCTGGGAGAGGCGGCCGGCAGAGCGAAGGAAAGGATGGCGGGTCCGCGACTTCTCTCGTGGATGGAAAGCCTAGCACTTCCTGGACCCCACAGAAAACGCACGAGCACTAGTGGTTTGTGTCATCAGTCCGTGTGGTTCCTACACAAAGCGGGTGTGCTGCGCGTGGCCTGTTCTCTGCGTGTGAGTCACAATGGCCGGCCCATTGTGCATGCCCTGACTTCTGAGGATGAAGGGAGTTATTCACAGAGAGCCCCAGGAAGGAAACAAGAAGGTGCGCAGCACACAGCGGCGCGCCGGGGCCCCCCCGCCCCGACAACGCTGTCCGGCACAGACGCTGCTGTGTTCACGCCGCAGTCCAGTCCGACTGTGTGCGCCTCATGGACCCAGCGCCGCTACAAGAAACCACAGCAAGTCACGCTCACATCCAGGAGCTGTGTGTGTGAACTCTGCATGCCGAGGCATGGGTATACCTCGTGTTCACAATGACCTTGAATTACTGCCCTGTGGCAGCGTGTCTCTTAAAAACAACAGGAAAAATGTACTTTTCCTGTCGCCTTGGTAACATCGTAAATGGCAGTCATCAATGAGACAAACAGCAGGTCTGCACCGCACAGCTCACCCACCTGTGCAAAATAAAACCTTTGTTTTCATTATCAGTACAGCTTTTATTAAGTTGAATTCATTGTAGTATTTTTAAAAACAAACTTAATGGAATGACAGATCTTTCTACCCAAATTAAAAACAAAATTCCAAACGATTTTAGTCACCAGCTCAGCTACAGTGTATCTAAAGTTCACATTACACTTCCCTGAAAAGGAAGATGTGGAAATAAGGAAGAGAGTAAATATTCATATCCAAGAAGCATGAGCGAGCAGCAACTAACTAGAGGTCCAGGAGAGGAAAAAACCTTCAGCTGTAGCAACAACTGAAAAGGACACAAAAATACATGATTCATTTGAAGGCAATCTGAAAATACTCCCACGAGATAAAAGAATTAAATGAGAAGAACAATGCGGCAGTCCTCAGCAAGGACAGGCAAAACTGCGAGGATACCCAGAGATGAACCCTAAGTTAATATCCAAATGCAACATGATCCTGGAGGAAAAATGGACTTTCTGACAAAGAAAATCAACTGGGGAGGCAGGTGGGAACCGTAAAGCTGCAGGAATCAAAACCTGCAGTGCTGGCTCACGACAGAGCCAAGGGAAAGATCTACGGAAAGATCTATGAAGAGGCACACAGGGATGGGATTAGGTACGCAACAATGTGGCATTTCAAATCACTAAGGATACAAAGTAGCACATGGGGGACACATGCAGAGCCATCTGTGGGGTGAATGGCTGAGCTGGTCTCTAACTCGGACTGCAGCAAAAATGGATTCTGGAGGAATCAGACTTAAAGATGAAAACTGAAACGGTGCACAGCAGGTGGGAGAATTTAGACTGAAAACAAAACCTGCCGGCTCAGATCCCCATACCAAATGCTAGTTTTCTTCACACATTAAGGGGTATGTCAAACCAGAAAGTAGAGGCCAACCACCTAACAGGAAGAGGGGAGAGTACGTGAACAGGCAGGAGGGATCACAGAAAAGGCAAGACGTGTCCTCCAACACAGGGGACGGGACTCAACCCCTTCACAGTAGGGAAAACACTAATAAAATGACACATGCCGATTTTCACCCAGCAGACCAAGAGATCACACAACCCAGTAACATGTCGTGTTGGTGGTTCACCGCTGGGGAGGACGCAAACCGTGACCCTGAGGCCCCACAGCCCCACACCCTGGCATGCGGACACCATCTGTCCTAAGTGACACAGATGATGCCGGTGCTATTGCTGGGAGCAGGACTTGGGGAAAACCTAACTGTAGATCAACAGTGACATGACAATAAAACGCGAACAGTGGGGTGCTGTGCAGCCACAGGGAGAGAACAAAGGGCTGGATGTGCTGGCACGAAACTGGCTCCGAGAGGGAGACGGAGAGCTGCGTTGCAGGGCAAAACCGACCAAGCCACCAAGCAACCTGCCCTGAAAACCACACCTCACATTCACGCAGGAAGCAGCTTGGAACCAGATGCTGGAAGCTGGTCCCAGGGGCTGCTGCTGGGGGAGGAGCTAAGGTAGTAGAGCGGGGAAATAAAACTTAACCATTTTCCTGTTTGCCTTTTCATGCTGTTTTATTTCTGTAACAAGTGCACTTATTACTATTAAGAGAAACTTAGTATCTTTTTGAAGGTGAATTTGACATAAAATTGACTGTTACTGACTCGCCTGTCATTGAGTCTACTGAAATTAGACCAAAACAAAGTATTTCACGTAAATCAAAATAACCAACTTGTGTATTTCACTCTGCTCATCATCCTCCCTAGATGGGCCCCGCCAGCTGCAACACCAACTACTACGTAAGTAGTACCTGCTGTCACACGTTTATGTACAGTGAGATACAACGTATTCTGTTGTTTCCCTCCTCAGACGTGCAAGCTAGTGAAAAAAACTGACCAGGTTACTTAAAAAATATATTTTATTTATTTATTTTTAGAGAAGGGAGGGAGAAAGAGAGGGAGAGAAACATCAGTGTGTGGTTGCCTCTCTCACATTCCCAACTGGGCACCAGGCCTGCAACCCAGGCATGTGCCCTGGCTGGGAATCAAACCAGCAACCCTTTGGTTCGCAGTCTGGTGCTCAATCCACTGAGCCACATCTGCCAGGGCCGAATCCAATGTTCCAACAGCCCTTGGAGCAGTGATTTCAGCATCAGCCCATCCAGTTCCCACAGGAGCGAGTGGTACACACCAGCAGGGCCTTTTCTTCTTCTGTCTAATGGTGACTGCGGCCTTTCAGAATGGGTAGCTACACTGAGAACAATTTATTCCAAGAAGCTAAATTTGGAACTACTTTGTGTAAAAATTCTCTAAATATTCTTATCTGGCAGTAACAGAACCCCAAAAAGCAAGACCAGCAGAGCTGGTCAGGGACTGCATGCGCTCAGCCGTCCTCACTCGGCACACTCACTCCCTGAGCTCTCTGAGCCCGTGGGCCACTCTTTGTAAGGCTCCAACACGGCCACGGTCACAGGAGTCGGAGGGCTGGGCACGTGTTCCCGCTCCAGAGCCCAGCAGAGCCTCCCTTCCACAGCAATCGTGAGAATGGACGGAAAGCTACATTCTTGCCAGGGAAGGGGTTGCAAAGTGAGCTCTCCTCCAAGCGCGACGACCTGTTAACATCTGCACCCCACGTGTTGACACCGATGGAGCCACCCTGTGAGGCCACTGCGCTGGCCTCAGGAGTATCCAAGATCCACACACGAGCATCTGTCCAGCCCTCCTGTAGCTCGCCCATCTACCAGGCCTGAGGTGGCACACACTACAGTCGTCACCATGTCACAGATGAAAAGTTCCCTGCCTGTTTCGTGGTCACTGGTCAGGGAGAAAAGTGAGGACACCAAGCACTGGGACTGCAGAGCCCACGCTGCAGACCAGTGTGAAGCCCTGGCCTCCTGGGTGACTCGGAAATGCATTCCGACAGCATCGTCACTGGGCGGGCGCAGCAACTGCCAGCCACACCCTCACTTCCTGTGAGCTCAATGCAAATTCAAAACCAAGACACAAAGGCACACCGGAATCTTGATAACCTACACGGGGTAGCCCTATTTCTTTGCCTAGGGCTCTCAGTTCTGCCTGCTGCCCCAGTGTAATCACACCTGTGCCCCTTCACTCTCCACTGTACCAGCCCCACCCAGGACTCATCTACACTGATGTACAAGACAAGCTGCGATCCCTGTTGCAGCAGCCCCCAAACCCCCACCTGGCTGTGAACCAGCACCCTGCACAGCAGAGGCTGAGGGAGGCACCACAGCGCAACTCCCCCCGCCGCCCCTCCAGGGAGCTGCGACACTCGGGGCCTAGCAGAACGGGCCTCCGTGAGGGCTGGACTGGGGGGCGTGGTAAGGGGGCCGGAGGCTGACAGAAAGGGGCTTCTCTGTTCCCTTCACATTCTCTTCATTTCCTCTACCCTTTGCTTCCAGGCAGTTCCTCTGGCAAGCCAGACCCCACACATCAACCTGCGAGTATCTTTTCTGGGTTACTCAACCTTTGGCAATTACCGACTGTCCAGCCAATCACACCGACAGCCCTTCCCCCGGAGATCACACCACCGTCCCTTGAGTGTGCTCTCTCTCCCCAGGAGAGATGCTCTCTGCTCTGAGGGTGGGGCACACACATCACAGGGGAAGGTGCTCACCCGAGTCTCTGATGGGTGCCTGGGAACCAGAACCCCCTCTCCTGTAGTAACCACGGCCTTCCACAACACAGTAAGAGCATTTAAAACAATTCTGAAGTAGAGAAGCGAGTTAATTTTTTTGAAAAACGGCCATAAATGACTTTGAAACAACTGAGTAGATGGCCATTGCTCTTCAATGACACAGAAGTCACGAGCCTGCAAGGAGCCTGCGGGGGTCCGAGAGACGCACAAAACTTACCTGCCCAGCTGTGTCTACAAGTTGAAGATGATATTCTTGTCCATTTACTGTGATCAATTTCGTGAAAGCTACAGAGGAGAAAAGAAAGTATCAGTTAGCTCAACCATTAACTTCAGGTCACTTCAGGCCTGAACAATGACAACCAATCAAGAAGAGTTCCTAAAAATCTCCTAAGAATTTCCGTAAAACAAAACACAAATCTCAGTTTATATGTTCTTCCCAACCTCCATTATTTACCAAAAAAACATAGCTGACTACAATCAAGATTGGCTAAACCTTAAAATTTTAAAAAGAAATCAGCCAATAATCATTCTATAAAAGTCATCCGAGTGCTCTGTGAGTAATCCTTTCACTTGTGAAAAAGTAAGACATATGAAGTTCAGTGTCTAGAAAAAACCAAAAGCACAAACCTCTCTGTTAATTTATAGGAAGTCTGACACCAGAGCATACAGAGCTAATATTTAATGAAATGCTACGAACGTCCAGTACTTAAAAAGCGTCCCGGCCTCGCTGACAGATAAAACGGCAATGGAGCAGATGTTCGTGGGAAGCCATTATTCCCACTCGCTTAGCATCCAAGCAATTTGTCACAATTTCTTTTTCCTACCAAGGGGTGGGTGTGGGGAGCAAATCTGACTCAAATAACTTCTGGAAAAGTCAATTCAGAATTTTAAGGAGACAGACTTCAAGCAAATATAGACAAAAGAGGAAAGAACTATTAATAGTGACTGACTAGTACAAAGAACCATCTGGAACCCGGACAACCGAACGGAACAGGTTTCTGCGCCCCGTCCCAGCCTCCTCGGCTCACGAGGAGTCCCCGTCTCCTGGCTGCCCACTGGACTTGATCGGAGCCGGCCAGCAGAGTCTAGCCCACGCACTTCTGTCCCTCAGCCAAAAGGGAAAGAAAACCAGACAGATAACAGCATGTGAGGAACCATAAATGGCAGGAGGACGGCGAGGAGGGAAGCAGCAACCAGGGAGAATCCCCCCAGCACCGTGCGTGCCCAGGGCCAGCGGGGCCCAGGCCAGGCGGGACAGTGTGACCGCACTGCTCAAGCAGCTGTTCCATGTGACAGCAATCTTGTGCTCTTTCTGGAAATGATCACTTAAAGAAATAATTCTAAGGAAAAAATCATACCACGGTTTTTCCACACCGGGACCTCTCTGAGCTCGGGATGCCCAGGCCCCGACTGCTTGCAATCACCACCGGCCAGGGCAGCCAGGAGGTGCGCGAGTGGAAAGCTGCTCCCTCACCTCCCACACGGCCCACGCGTGCACTCCAGACTGGATGAAAATTATATACGAAATGCTGTGAGCAATGAGACAGCCACCTGTCTTAGACCTAAACAATTGTGGTTATTGAGTAACATTATAATGAGAAGACGATCCACCAAACACCATTCACTCACCAAAAAACTACTTCTTGAGCGCCTGTTACGACTACCACTAGGTAGTCGTGGTGGTAGTCGTGGTAGCAGTCCCTGACCTCACTGAGTGGACACGCAGTGGAGGAAGCTGGGGACTCAGGCCCACTGCCAGGCGCCTTCTCCAGGAGGGGCACCCAGGCAGAGGGGGAGGAGCATGTAAAAAGCTCAGTGAGGAAAAGCAGTAACGTCAGTGCCACTCCAGCTGAGCACCGTGGGCCGGTACGAGGGGCGGGAACCAGAGGCCTTAGAAGACATGGTCAGAAGCTCATATTTTCATTCTGAACGCACTGGGAAATCAAGGGTGGTGAGCAGTAGAGGGACCTGATCTGATTCACACCCTGTTGTACAAGGATCCCTCTGATTATGCCTCGAACAGAAAACCGGCCACGGGCCAGCGGTGGAGCCCACAACACAGTGACCAGGGGGGCAGAGGCAGAGACGTGAGGCACGACACCCAGTGTGCCCTGTGCTGCCAAGTCAGACACTCAAGGGAGGGTCAGCCTGGGAGACTGGGGGGTACTGGCCGGGAAGGTAGGAGTAAAAAGGCAGAAGATGCAACTGCACGTAAGGTGGAAAAAAATATTAACAAACGTTTAGCATACCCTTGCGCACGAAAAGGATGTAAATCCTCCTACACAACGCAGTGAGATGAAACCGAAGCTCTTCCATCTGTCCTGGGAAAAGTGCCTCCTGGCGTCACTACAGGAGAAGGGAAGCGTCCTCAGGGATCCGCCTGCCACCCTGCAGCCTGGGAGCGAACCCTTCCGCGAGCTCGAGGAGGGGTGGGAGGGCGGCTTTCCCCTGAGAGCACTGTCTCTGAACCCCCCCTCCCTTTTCAGTCACTGGAGAAATTAATCCAATTTCCAGTTTATAATCCTGGAGCTTCTCTAAGCAGACTAATAGCTACTTACTAGTAAATTCTTATGAGCAAGGGACTGAAGACTCCAGAGGATGGGCATTCGCACACTAAGGCCTGCATCACTGGTGTGCTCGGTGAACCCTTCGCTTATGTCCCACTGGGCAGTCTGCCCACCACGTGAAGCTTCAGACTCTGACCTCCCAGTCTGCCGGGCAGTGCCGGGAACCCACCAGCAGCCGCAGGCCAAGAGGGCAGAGGCCGGGCCGCCGCCACGCCTCTGTAGATCATGAAGTGCTGTGCCACGCTGTGCCGGTCTCACTGCCAAGTTGTTAGAGCACTACCGCTGCACACGGGCAAGCACGTCTGCACAGGCGGTGCTCCTGGTCCCCGACCACAAACGTACACGCGTTAAAAAGATGATGACACAGTCCCGGGATTTTTGCTTTGGCGGTGACACTTCATAGAAATGTGTCACCACTGCCTGTCTGTTATCAACACCCTGCTCTATGTTAGAGTTAAGTGTAAAATAATTATTGGATCATTTCCAGATTTACAGAGTGCCGTGTTTTATAGAACCAGAAAACCATCTATTCATTTACGTTGCTGGCAACAAGTTTATGACAGCCATTCCATTCCTCTCTAATTCTTTATTATCACCAAACAATGTTTTTCCACTGAACAGTCAGGAAGGGTGTCTGCTTGTGTTGCTGTCAGAAGCTTGGGAAGCAGCCTGACGTCTGAACACATCAGGAACTTTCAAGGGGCTCATACACCCTGATACTCATTTCTGCGCGTGCCTGATGACCCTGAGCTTGCAATGGACTCACTCCAGAGACTGGAAGTATCGGTAAACGCTATTAGGTAGAAAAGTGTTAACAACAGGACTGAAGACGATGTTGACAGCCTTTGAAGTAGGGCCACTGAACTGTGTCCAGGACAGAATCAAGGCGTGGAAGTCGGACTTTGACCCATGACTTACATAAAAGGAAAGCGCATTTCACACACAACACTACGATCTGCCTTCCAACTCAACTTTAACGTGTTCTAATTCCAAGGAGAGACAGCCGAGCCCGCGCACCCAGCTCCCAGATGAACCTGCCCCTCGCACAGACGAGGCTTACTGCTCCGAGACAGCTACGCACACCAACGGGACGCAACTGGATCCTCCTTCCGGGGAGGGCAGAGGTTCCCCCCGAACAGTTCTCCCAGTTAGTTTAGCAACTGACAGCTTTCTTCCCCGCTACCCGCGTACTGGCGCAAGACAGCTGGGTACTCTGAGCCAGAGGTCAGCAAACTTTTCCTGGAAAGGGCCAGAGATCAAGTATTTCAGGCTCTGTGGGCTGAGACTGACCTTTAGCCTCACCGTGTGGAGGAAAAAGCGGCCACAGACAGATGCATGTGAATGAGCATGGCTGGGTTCTACGCAAACTTTATTTATGGATGCTGACATTTGGGTTCCATGCCACTTTCCCATGTCAAACATTCTTCTTCTTTTGACTCTTTTCAAATATTAAAAACACCAGAACCACACTCAGCTTGTGGGCCAACTCGCCCTGCAGTTGAAAGCTGCCCACCCCCCAGCAGTGAGCCTCTTTCTAAGTCTCTGGTGTGAGCTGTGGGTAGGCGGAGCCTGCAAATCCGGCCGTCCCACCCGGGAGCCTGGCCACCAGGCAGGCTCTACATCTAACACAGCACTCGGGTCTGATGAACCCACGCCGAAACCCACCCGTCCCTGGTGACAAACCCCAGGTGAGCTGGGGTTACCGATCTGAGAGGACTGATGCCAGGCGAACTGCCTTCTCAGAGGGCCTGAAACCGGCTTCTAACAAGCAGCCTCCCTGAAGAAGTGCCTCAGATTCTCCCCCGTGACCCCCAGGACCAAGACTTGTTGCAGGTCCCCAGAATTGTCCTTCAAGGAGATTCTGAAACCATGCACACTGGAAATGGACCAGGTAAAGGTCATGACTGGTTCTGGTCTTTGGTGCTGCTACTGAACACGGTGCAAACGTGGTGAGAGGCAGTGCAAACGGGGTGCAGAGAAAGGCTGCACCCCGTCCCCAAAGCACAGTGTGGAACAGGGATTCCGACACTGGGCTCCGGATTCCTGTAGAGGTGAGCAACAATTTCCAGATGGCAGGATCTGGATGAGGAACCAGAAAATCCTTCACTGTACAGTGGGCAAAGTTTTGGGGAGCTTTTCAGGGACCCCTGTTAGTGACCTACAGCTCTAACCGAGTACCCCTGCTATCTTGGTCTCTGCACACACACAGGGGCCGTCTGTCCGTTCGCTGAAGGACAGCGCCCCAGCTCATCGCCCTTGCAGACAGTACTTACTGTTCTCTATGGTCGGGTCGTAGGAGTCGACGAACTGGCCTTCCACAAACTGAATCGTCAACGAGGATTTCCCTAGAAAAGAGAGCAGCAGTTCAGATCGCACTGGCATTACCAAGGTGGAAATTTTAGTTCTGCTATTTTACGAAAACCACACTGTAGCAGATGAAGAAACTCAAGGTACTGGAGTCAGAAAACATTCTTCTGCCATTCGGGCAATTTCAAAATTCCTGTCAAACTACTGTGAATTAAATGCTTCTGTGAGATTCACAAACGGCACCGACCAACCAGCACAGCGCGTGTTCTGTGCGTAAGGTCTGTGCTGAGCAGACTTCCCCTGGGGCCCTCGAAACCTGGCCATTAGCTGTACCGTGGAAATAAGACACGACTCACTTCTGTGGGCGTTCTCACAGAGGGCTGTCCCTCATGCAGCAGGCAGGTGAGAAACGGTCGGGACTCACTCAGAGAGTCACCAAGTACTGAGCCTGTCCTCTCGCCCACTAGGGGCCCTGTGAACCACCGCTGGAGGGCTTCAGGGCAGGGAAGAAACAGGGCGAGACAGACTGTTTTGTCACCAGAAAGCAGGAAGCGGCTCCCGCAGTCCCCCCACCCCTGCAGTCCCCCCACCCTCGGAGCGTGGCCCTTCAATCACAGGTGTGCTGCCCCACCCACCTCCATCCCAGGGACCTGCAGGCAGAGCACAGGAGGGCGGGCTGCTAACTGGGGTCCCACACTCCCAGGCTGCCAGTCCGCAGGGCCTCCCGGAAACCAGAGAGAGGTGCGGTTCACAGGGGACACAGGTCTTCACACCAAAGGCCGTCCCCCTTACACTTAGAAATTTACCAATCACCGTATTTTTGGCTGTGTATATTGCACATCCATATTTTGGACCCAAACTTTCAGGAAAAAAATCTTTTGTTTTTCATTCATTCATTCATTCATTCATTCATTTATTCATTCATTTATATTAAGATACTTTTTGTGTGTGTGTTATGAAGGAACTTTAGCTTTTATTTTTGAACATATTATGGTACAAGAATCTTTATGTAACAAATAATTACAAAACACAAGAACAGATACAAGGTATTTCAGGCACCACCCATGAACAATGCTCATCCTTATCTTCCCTAAAAGATCCTGGCAACAAGTGCCCATTAGACACGGTAAAACCGGTAATGAGCTGGCTGAGAAGTGGGCACTACTGGGGGACAGCTTGAAATCGCCAAGTTGGTGGGCTCATTACTCACTCCTCAGGGGCAGCAACACACAAAGTTCACAGTGTGGCCAGAATTACTGACAACTCAAACCGCTGTCTACAAAGCAGCCTACAGGAGAGAGGTTTTGAAAATTACACGTTACTCCATACCTGCTTAAAACCCTCCCTGTGATTAGACTGAATTCCCAACTCCGAACCATGGCCCACACACAGGGACAGGCCCCCCACGGCCCCTCCCCTGGCTCCAGCCACGCCCTTCAGCCCCAGCCAGCTTCCCACCAGCATTAGCGCCTTTGTTCTAGCCATTCCTGCCCCCCCACCCCATCTTTGAAAGCATGACTCACTTTTGTCATTACTCTGGTCTGTGCTCAAATGTCCCTTCTTGGGAGAAGCCATGGCTCAACCTACCTTGTGGAAGATGGTACCCCTCCTTGACATCACTCTATCATACCACCCTCTTGTATTCTTTTAGTGCTTGAACTTAGCTGGACTTGACCTTCATTCATTAATTAGTCTTTGGAGACCCTGCAGACACTTGGGTTTTGAGAAAATGAATGAAATTCAAGCTCAGACCCTGAAAGGGCACTCGCATACACTCAGAGGCTACAAAAGATCTCAACTTTAAAAACGTGACCAAGAAACAGGCCGACAGAAATTAGGAAGCAACTGTGTGGCATGGACCGTACCCAGGCGGGGGCCTGCCGCGGTACCGGCTACCGCAGCGTCTAGGAACCCACACATTTTGAACAACTGTGTTCAAAAGAAACCCTGTTACATAACCTAGCTCACAAAGAGGCATTTAGCTCAAAGTACAGAAAGCTGTTTTATGTAATGAAAATAACAATAAAAATTCTGTTTTCTGCCAGCAAGACTGAAACATTTTAAAGCATAAGAAAATTCTTATTTACATCAAATGCTACTGCTTGAAGCAAAAGACATTTAATTAGAAAAAGAGAAAAGGACCTTCTCTAGGGTTTCTGAAGATGCCCAGGCTCTCCGCTGGGCTTTTGATTCCCTTAGGGTAAGAGTCTTTTTTCTTGGGGGGGGGCAGGTTGGGGAGGGCTTACACATAGAAAGGAGAAGGAAGAAAAGAATTTCCCCCTATAGATAAATGAGCAAAGGTAAAAAGAAAGGCATTTAAAGGATCTTAGTAACATTTGTGGAAGCAGACCTGGATTAAACATGTAAAGAAAGGGGCTGAACACGGCGTATTTGATGAACTCCCCCCAAGTGGAGGGAAGTAGGTAGGAATGTGAACTGGCACTGGGAGAAGTCTCCTCAGCCACAGCAGGAGGAGGGGAAGGGAGCAGAGCCTCTGGAGGGGGACATGGAATTTAGGAAGCCACAAGCCAAAAGAAAAGAAAGGTCCTGAACAAGGCAGCATGAGATGAATGGAGTTACAGCCAACCAGCGGACCACACTTAGAAACACAGTTGTTGGTGCACACCCAGAGCGGGGTTCCCCCTTTGTCACAGGGGCAGATAGTATGTGATGGGCTAGCTCACACTTAACTTGAAAACACAAGCAACCCTCTAGCAAAAGTGGACGAGGTAGTCCAACCCAAACCCCAATGGGGCTGACAGGCAGCTCTCGCCCTCAGGAGTGACTGGGACACTGGGACCGAGGGCCCCGACCCGGAAGCAAGCCAGGCTGCTTGGTCACAGGGTCCTGGGAGAAAGAGCTCACTACTAACTAGCAGGGGTGGGACTGAGGAAAGCGCGGTCTGCCTGCCTCGGGCCTCTCCTCCACTGGACTCTCCCCTTTGGGGAGATCATTAATTATTTAAATTTTTAAAAAAGGGACAGGAAAGCTACATTTGCTGACATGACAGTAGTTTTCTGCTGTTTCTATTAGAAGCAGAATTATTAGGCAACTAGTGTTGAAATCTTTGCAAGTCAGCGCTAAATGATAATGAATCTTAGCAAGTAAACCCAGCTGCTCCTAGTTGCGGGTCTCGTAATTTCTGGCTGCGAGGGCCACCCTCATCCTCTAAAGCAGTGATTCGGCTCCTTTGGCCAGTGCAGCCTGCTGGCAGCTACGGGAGGCCTTGTGGACCCTTCAGCAAATTATGTTCTTTCCTTGATCACCTTCTACACTCCCCCTCCTAACAACCTCATGCATTCATTCACTTGGGCCTTTGTCCTTGTTGAATTCACATCCTGGATACAACTATTTCCTTAAGGGTTTTCAGCCACTTCAGCCACACCTGCAGAGGCCCACAAGCCTGTCTGACGGGGGAGAACCTCGGACCCCAGCCTGGCCCCGGAGCGACACTGTGTGACGCCAGTGGACTGAGACGCAGCACACACGCAGGGGTGGGCGTGTCGGCGTCCAGAGACAAATCACTAGTGTGACAACAGGACACGCTATTAGGAAAGGTCTGAAAAGACTGTGACCCAGCACCCCACGTTAACTTCTAAATACTCTTCCTCCACACTTGAACAGTCCTCACTTGAAAAAAAATGCAAGGTTTATTGTATAAAAGTTGCACCTGAACTTGCAGCAGGCCAGAACAGCAGCTACATAGGTCTTACAATGGTGACAAGCCCAGCAGACGCCCTGCCCCTGTCACTGCAGATGATGGACTTCCGAGGCTGTTGACTAAATCTCATACTTCAAGATAGCTGCAAAATATTAAAGCATGTTATGTGAACAGTACCTATTTTCCAGATGAACTTTGAACTGGCTTTCTTGTTGCTTCCCCTAAAAAAAACCATGACCCCCATCTCCCCTTCAAACCCACCTACTCTGGAACGGCTGATATGTACCCTGGTCCTGGGGACACAATGAGGAGAAGCAGGTGTCAGGGCAGTGACTGGTCCGTCCAGACCACTGGGCTGCAGCTGGGACACAGTTCCGAGGACTTTCATTTCCACCTCAAATTCTTCACATCACCTCACGTGACTCTGATGTCCACGTACACAAGCCAACAGTCTGGCTTCAAAACTCGCAGGTCTTGCCACCAACCACTGTCCCCACACTGCAGGAGCGCACTGGGGCGTGGTTACCACCCAGGGGACTCCACCCCCAGTACCTGCTCCTGCCGTGCACCAACCAGCGACTGAGCAGCCGGCACCCTCACTTTCAGACTCCCAGTGGCTCAACCAGACCGTCCCCGGAAGCAACGTTGTCCCGCCAGGTCATGCAATCCACACGTTGTGCTATGATCAGTGCTGTCTTCAGAGTAGGAACACCAGAGCGGAGCAGAAGCACGAAACTGATCAGTTACACACACATTAGTGACTGACTGGCTGAGTAACATGCATTTCTCACTACAGGCTACAGTGGAAAAGGTTACAAATACAGTACTAAATGATACACCCCGAGCCTCCAATCTCCACCACTTCCTTCCCTATCAGTCTACTCCCCATGATAAATCACTGTTCTTAGTCTTTTGTAAGAACCTCCATTTCCTTTCTCTGGCCCCCCAATAATTCAGCGATCTTAATCTAATCACCTGCTTTGATGAGCCTGGCTGTGGAAGTCCTACAACCATCCGGGCTGGGGATGGCTCTCAAAGGCCCCCGCCACATCCTCTCTTTTTAGGAGTCTTCTCTGTGGCTACCCTTCCCCGTAGCAGTCAAGTGTCCCCATAGCATCACAGGGTGACTTACTACAAAATCTTGAGTCCCAACCAAACTTACAGGACTGGAGTGTTATCCAACAACCCCCCTCCCCCACTCCACTGCTCACTGAAGTTTATCAACCACTGCCCTCAGACAAAGTTCAAATTTAATGGTCACCCTAATTCCTTCCCGCCTCCAGGGTGTCCCCCCATTCTCCAGTTCCTTCCAGAAGCTCAGACTTTAAGCACAGATGGAACACCTCCAGGTGGACCAGGTCCAGGATAAAGCCATGA